CAGTGGCGCTCATGCATCTATTCATTATTCTTGTAACCTTAGCCTATGAAAATGTGTTACCTTTCACTTAAATCCGCTCTCAACATTTTAATCATCATTCTGCTATTTTATCCAAATAGGCAACCAAAACCAGCACACGAAAGTACATGGTTAATGGTTGTAAGAAGTGAACTGACCTGAAGTCAAATGAAGCTGTCGCGTTCACGGATATGCTCATCGCGACGACATTCTTGACAGGTTAACTAGCGCCCATTAACTGTGACAAAATGTAGGGCAACGCACACAGGATACGATAACCACGAAGCCTATCCGAGAAGGAACAAGACTATTTAACTGAAAACGACTTACTACAATGTTACCACTTTTGAGGATTGAAACACGACACAATGTCAACGTATATCCATCGACACGTTACAGACGTAACCAGATGAGCTGAGAGGATGAGATTGATCTCTCATGCCAGTGCTGCATCAGCCAGCAAGGCCAAGTTTGAAGAAAACAATTCGAGGAAACATTGATAATTAGAAAGAACTATCCGTCAGACGGACAAGGGTGCAAATCGATTTGCGGTGAAACTAACCAATTTCTGGCCCACATTTCCGGTCCCTAACCGTGCGCGTAACGAATCCACGAACCACACAACAGTTATACGTGTCAACTGTGAAGACCGTATTAATATTGACGATAGTAGCAACGAACAATCAGACGAACGGATTCTGCAGTTGTGTGCAACAACTCACTTGGAACCATTGATATGATATCGGTCAGCTGATCCATCGAACATTGATCGCACCACTGGAAAGACAGAAAATGTGGAAGCCGTAATCGAATAGATCAAATGACAAACTAAATATGGTGAACAGTGGTGCTGGTTTAGCAGCAATAGTAATAATATTGCATTGTTTGGGGCACTGTTAACCGATAGTCTCATTGGATGTATGCTAAAAGATTATGTCTGCAGTGAGAACCAATGCGTAGAACCACGACAGAGAAAATGTTGAAAATGAGATGGAATAGAGCAACTGCGAAATAACCGGTTTATTTCGATGTGAACTGCACATGTGGTTGGAGATTTAGAGACAGACAGGCCATATGAATGCACACAGATCACATTGCAACAAAACACGACCACAAGGAAATATACACTAAACAAATGTGCCAATTGCATACTTTTACGGTAACACCTGTGTTTTGTTTAAACTCCGTATGCAGGACAGCGATAGGGTGATTTTCTTTTGAGTGAACTACACAAACTCGTGACTGCAGTTCGTAGAATACTTGGCTATAGGAGGAAGGTTGTTACTTGAGACAAGTTATTTGATTACGGAAGGTGGGTAGATGCACAAAACCGCAATTTATTCAACACTTTCGCACCGATTCTGGGAGTTCTAACCGGTAAGCTCAACAGAACCTATATTACCATATCGCACTGGAAAAAATTCGTTTTCTCGTCTGATCACAAACGTTGGGGGGGGGGTCGGTTAGTAACGACATTGGCAACCGGTTTCGAATACCGAATATTGCAGTCATTTTTAATCGCAAAATGTTCGCGCTTGGGTGCAACAAAGAAATTACTCGACATGGCTTGAAACCAACTGACAAAGGCTTTCATACTCTTTGTGCAAGTCATAGTCTGATATCGTCAAACGGTTTTTCTAACTACAAACTGCTACAACCAATGCAGATACTTTAAATGGTAAACTCTGAGAACAATTATACTGGAGAAATGTAACCAATGTCTTCTCTCCCAGTGGTGCAACTGCTTCTGGATGGACCGTTTTTAACTGATGGAACACCGACATTTCCGTTGTAGTGATGAAAGTCATCAATAACAATCAAATAGTTGTGTCCATTATAGCAAAAGAACCCATGTCACAAAATCAATGAGTAGGCAAAAGCCACTGTAGTTTTGAGGGACCTTGAGCAACCGAGAAGAATGACAGATTGAAAGTAGAGTTAATGTAGCTTACTTGAAGCCGCGCCGAATCCGGAGCCATATTTGAGAGATTCGCGAGATCCTGTCTGTAATCGTGAGGCCATGAAATCATTTCCACCGCTTGGATCTAGTGTACCGGCATCTTGTGGCCAGTACACCGGTGAGCGAGTACCACTGCCATCACGACTGTGTAGGGACTGAGTATCGTTTAACTGGTTTGCGGAACCTCGTCTGAGAAAATAATAACACAGTAAACGTCATGAATCACTGGTCTGTGGCTTATAGAAAACAAAAATTACAATAAAATAAAATTATAAACTATCAGATTTGCAAAACCCTTTTTTACTGACTAAAATAAAACAAAGGCAGACGTCCATTTGCATCCGCCAGCAGGAAACCGATATACGATAAACTTTTGCAAACAGAAATCAATCGGTTGGAAAAACATACCGAAGACCGGCAACCGCATCCCTTGCACGAGTTGAAAGACGACCTCCGCCTAGCATCGACTGAAGCAAAGCAGATTTAAATCGCGGGGCACCTGCAGACACCGTACTTGAGCCATTCAGTGTATTAGCACCGGTCAGATGTTCTGAGGCGAACAATCCTGTGTGAATATCACCTTGAGACGGAGAACGATTAACTGGTGAAGTTATCCGGTTGTGCCCTGGAGACCCAGGACCGGATGAAAGCCCACTGGCGTTCCACGGAGCGCCTTGATTGCCGTTCAGTGTTTCGTGACTGGGGCTAGTGGAACCACGCGGGGAAACTTGGGGTGCATCTGCCGTGGGAGATGCTTTATCACCGGTTGAGTTGCGCTCAGGAAGAACTTCGGTTACCTAAAAACAAATATAGAAATATTCCATTGAATTCATTACAAAAGAGCTGCTGAGAGACAGAGATGATCGGTCAATTTACTGAAAAAGCAACCTAAAACGGCAACAGAGGGAGAATTTTGACCAAAGAAGGGACCAAATCTTACTTCAATATTTTAGAGGTGGTAGGGTACTTCAAGCTTAGGTTCAGTAGGCTACCGGGTGCGTCTTCAGATGGTGGATAGGAGCAAAGTCAATTTGATGGTTAAACGTAAATAGTTGGCTCCTTGCTTCATCGAACGAGAAGTTGTCGATGATCAGTTGCAATGCTCGACGACGAAAGGAAGGGGCTGGTAAACCTTTCAACCAATCTGTCTCCCTATTTCGCTACGAGAAACAGGACGCATCGTGAAGAGTGCGATTCTGTGAGACGGCTTGGGACAATCAGAACACGTTCTGCAGAACACAATTTTGCAAATAACAGAGAGGCGTATTTTTCGGGGTGAACAGTGAATCACAATCTCTTTTCAGCTAGGTACTACCAATCCAGCATGGGATAGAAACAGACGCCGTTCGGTGTCAAAGCATCGATAAGATTACCGGTCTACTCCTTCATAATAACAGTACAAACCTTTTATGATAAGAGAATTCAGTTCAGTTTTTACAACCATTAACCACCAATCACTTCAACTAAAGTGCATCATGATTGTTCAGAAAAAATGCGACAGGCCGAAACACTTCTGACAACAGTATACAACCTCGGTAACTCCATGTACCGTTTTCACTGGAGAACAAATCAAAGTCAGGTTGCCAATAAAAAATGTTATTCACGACAAACGCGTGGACAGGAGTTATCCGATGAACCCGCCTTGAACAATGCATTTAGATTTCACAACGTTGACTAAAACTTGCATTTGGATATTTGCGGAGGATATCATAGTAAAAAAAGATTTGAAGATTGAAGTAATACAATAGACAATGAGAGCAATATAAAACGAGCGTTCTACTCAACGGAAAAATAAGCTTGCCTGTTTGGATTGTTCATCATCCGGTTCTACAGCCAAACTGAATTCAACAGGATGAGAATTCGCCACCATGACCTCTTCGACATGTTGTGCTTCCAACAATCCATCAAAGGTCGTTTTAGTTATGGATTCTGCGACTGATGAAGAGTCCATGGCTAGGGTATCCGTAGAGTTCACAGGCTCTTTATCGTCAGTGGGTATCTGGACCGGATTGTGTTCAAAGAGTTTGGAATCCGAGACGTCCGAACGGACAGGAGGTGCGCATGATTCATCTTGAGCTTGAAGTGCAGGAGATGAGGCAGCCGTAACACTCTGAGTTTGTTTCACGCGAGACATAATGCTATCCAGTTTCTTTTTGCGCATAATCCGCTCCTCTTCCGCTCGTTGAAGCTTGGCCAATCGTTCAGCTTCTGCGGCCTCCAACTGGAAAATCGGAATGATGAATAGTCAAACTTAGGATAATTTGAAGCAACAGCAGAATCATTGATAAAACGCTACAGACGACCCGTGACAAGAATAGAAAAAAGGCGAGCAGACAGCTTGCACAGCCCACGCAGCTTTCTACCCTATCGATAGGACCGCAGGAACTGATTGTTGATGAATGGAGTACCTGTAGATTCTCAATGAGTTGTATCGACATAACTCAGATCCGGTTAGGGTCAATGGGCAACATTCACCAATCTTTTTCGTCTACAGTGAAATTCAACGTCGCCCCTTCGTCTTCAACTTTGCTATAAAGGAAGTTATACAAAACGCTCTTTCCAGTCTAGCAAATAGGGGAGTTGAACTCCCCCAAGGAAATTGAGTCCATGAAATAGCATATGCTAATGACGACGTCTAGGTGACAGTGTACAGGCGTTCCAACGTGCTTTAAACCACTTGGTGATATATATGCTTTATACGCACCTTTGCGCGCTCCTCTTCTTCACGTTGACGCTGCTGTTCCTCTGCCTCGCGAGCAGCAATTTCAGCCTGCTCACGAGCAGTTTGTTCTGCAGCCAACCGCGCGGCCTCCTGTTGCATACGACGTTGGCGATTTTCTTCCTCTAGTCGCCTAAAATTAGACGTAGGAGTATATGAAAGAAAACTATTCATTAGAAAGAACTAGGCAGAAAGGTAAAGTTAAATAATCAAAAATAAGTACGATGACGGAGAGTTACGGACTGACTAGCGAAGTTTGTAGCTTACCAAATGCATAACCCAGATACAAGTGATTCCACCAAGATTAATGTGCTGTTTTCCTTTTGTCCCTATCCACTTTGTTGTTTCTCTCTCCCTTACCCCTTCTGTATATCACTGCTTTTCAAGAAATACTGAAACAGACGAATTTACATACAATAAAGCACGGCGTAACTGAAACTGACGATGATAAAACCACCCTCAAAACTGCGCCACGTAAAGTAGGAGTTTAACCCTTGGATCGACGAGTTCAAAAATGTTTAACTGACTGATTTCTCATCATTTCAAACTACAGCTTTACAAAAAGCGCTACCATTACATTTTTTGGCACAAACGACAAAGCGATGATAAAATAGACAGGATCGCAACAAAATAAAATTGGAAGCGGTAAAAGACATATGCTGAGCTTTCCCAAAAAGCTCACCGTTGCTCCTCTTCCTTTCGTTCTTTGGCTAAGCGACGTTGTTCGACTAACTTGGCACGGTAAATTGCTGCTTCACTTTCATTGAGCACAGCACCCTCACCAGATCCTTGGGTCTCGGCTTTGATAGGACCGGTATGCGCAAGCGGAGCAGTCGTCACCGGTGGAATCGGTGCAACGGGTTCCGGTTTCGGAGGACTGACCTTTGATTCAGATGGTTCCGGAGGAGGGATAGGGCTTGGTGTTTTCGCTTTCTGTTCAGGTACTTCATCTAATGTAGCTTCCGGAGCAGACAAATCATCTACGACAGTCGGCTCCTCGACAGGTTTTGGTGGCTCGACCACGGGTGGTACCTAGAGCGAAGTAGTTGATGAAATATTTACTTAATTATGCCAGGATGGTGGAACAGGGACCAATTGACTGGCAAAAATAAAGTGCTTTGGAAATCAGAATGTCAGAACAACCGTAAGGAACGTAAAAGGGCACAATGCTTGTTGACCTCACTGCTAGGTCACCTGTTGCAACATAACCGTCATTCCAATTGTCCATTAAACGGAGTGTAAAACTACAAACAAAACAGCAATAACTGGAATAAAGCGATTCTTCATGACAGCAAAATGATGTTACGAACAACTCCAAACAGCAACCTTGAACGTCAGTTAAGACTAAGGTTCAGTTTTCATCTACGAGAATATGTCGACAACTGGCGTGGCCCGTTAACCTAGAGTCAACCGATATGGCATATATTCGAGATGACCCCAGTTGGAGACCACGAAGTAGTGTTAGTATGTAAAACTTGTACTCGTTGCGAAACTTCCTGGCCAAAATTTGGTGGTGGTTCAGAGGTTAAGTCGCTGTCACCGGCGTGCTTTGAATCCTATGGTCCAAGCTTCAATCCCAGCCACCAAAACCCACTTTGAAGGTAAACAACTTTGCTTCAGTACCAGACTTAGCGGGGCTCTATATGGTTCACCACTCTACGTCCCGGGGGTTAGGTTACCGGTTTTCATCACTAAACAACAGCTCTTCGTGATTATGGGGTGCACCCCGTCTGCTGTTCATCACACAAATGACGATAAAAGAGTCAATCAATGAAGGACAATTCATTAGCCTCCAATTTGCACCTACTTTTGTCAACTATATCTGTTCCCATATTCTGGTTCCATTCATCTATATAGAGCGATATCAGGTGTCACTGTTAGCCAGAAGAGGTGACCTCTGGGGACATGTAGCAACGCTACGTCGAGGAAAGTCAGTGCATGAACCTTGTCTTTATGCTGGGGTTATTTTTAGTGATACACGATCAGCAATCCATGTACATGTGATTCTCGAGCAGCTGACTGTATCGCCAAGCGTCAAAAAATTCGCTCAGAAAATAGTTGTCGCTGAATAAAACAAAGACAGGGTTGGAGTACTATAAGCTAGTAGTACACAAAATCCGAAATCGTATCTTTGGGCATAGCTTTGTGCCATGGGATCAACATGCCTGTTACGTAAGCTGGTAGTGCAATCGATCGGTCATCGACGGG